ACACACAGACTGTGAGGGATACAATTTATCCATCAGGTTTTCTTTCGTCATGCATAGATGAGTAGTGCACACCGCTGATGAAATGCTGAACGATTATAAGCCCAGCATTAGATCTATCTGAAGGCATGCCGCTGACTAGCAATGAGAATGCTAGCCGACCGTCCAGCAAATTGCCTTGTTATGGGGACCAAATGACTGAATTCACCTATAATATAACAACTAATACTTTTAGTCTTGTGTCGCTACACCGTCCCTTCTCTGCGTACCAAAACCGCTGCGATTCAACGGCAAGAGTGACAATCTGTAGTAAATCTTTTCGATATTATTGGTAGATGAAAAACAAAAAACAAATATCTTGTTCATTACTGTTCAGATGGAAACAATAACTGAATATCAGTTTTCATAGATTAATACGACATGCAGTAGACTCATGGGTACAAGGTATTCAGAAAGATAGTCCCAAGTTCCAACGTAGTTGCACAGCATGGCCCCGGTAAACACCTGGAGGTAATGGGTTAGCTGATGGCGAAGCTAGTAGGTGGACTGCTGCATGTAGGTCTACACCCATCCCGCAAAAACGAATATAATAGACAAAATAAGACACCTAGTTCTGGCAGAAATATTAACTGGGTTCCTACTGGTACGAAAGTAAGCTTTGTAGCCATGTTTGTATTTTTCGTTACTGTATAAAAACTAACGTTTAAAAGAAGAGTATACGCAACAAAATGAGACACCACACCTTGCGCTCAGTATTTTTACGCAGCATTGTTTTGTAATCAAGCGGACCACGGTCTCATTACCGATGAGAGAAAAGAACTAGTAATACTACCACAAAAACAAGCTCAGTAATGATAGAATAAACTATGTCACGAAGCCAAGGCCACCTCCCATCCAGTCTCATATGTGTGCAGCCCTTCCCAACACCCCTCAGTATGACCCGTTTTTAGTACAGGAGGGAATGGAGCCGCGGCCATTCCCACTGCTTACATACCCGACAGAAGCCAACTACCTGTTCCCACTATTCCTACAATTTCTGCAGATGACTCGGCTAGTCAACTGTCACGCTAATCGCAAAGTAGACTTGCTCCCTCAACCACCTCCATGTCCAGAGCAATATCGGCAATCAAAATGACATATAACCCATACTACCACGACTGTTAACAGTAGACCCGACTACAGTACTCCTACTCAAATTTCCTGCGTCTATACTACCTGACTAAAATAACGCATTTAACAATGGACAGAAACAAGATAACCTCACACCAAGTAGTCCGTTTGCTGTACTTCGACTTAATGCCAACTCTATTAACAATAATTTGTACTTCCTTACAAGTTTGCACTTATCAACGACCTACAAGCAATCCGCAGTAATAAGACGTGGTGCTCCTCCGATACATTGGACTCCACCTTAGTGTCTGCTAATTATCGGCTTTTCCGAAAAGTTCACGGTACACGCAAAGGTGGATGCATGATATACCTATATTGTACATTTGCAACAAAACTTCTTGATCATCCACAGCTAACAAATGTACCCGAATCTCTTTGGTTGTCCGTATCACGAACCGATTCTCACATCTTACTCGGATGTGTTTACAACCTGCCAACTGCGTCAACCGCGAGTGTGACCATCATCACATCAGCTTTCGAGTTCGCTATTGAGATGCCAAACAGACAGAAGATAATTGCTGGTAATTTTAACCTACCAAAGATGAACTGGTTCTTTCAACCATCCTTGTCTACACATACAGTTTTATTTTCCTTTCTCAGAATTGGTGGCCGGATACAGTTGGTTACTGAGCCAACAAGAGCGACCAGTATACTCGACCTCATATTGACTTTAGGGGTCACAAGTGCACAAACAATGGTATATGACAAACTCTCTGGTAGTGACCACAAGATGGTACCATTCACTTTCTGTGTCAAAGTGGCCATCAAACACGCTTTTATTTCGTAATATGTATCCCACAGGATAAACTGGAAGCAATTCCAACAATTAATCCGATCATTGGATTATAACGCATTCTTCCTCTCTAAAAATGTGTGTAATGCCGTAGACTATTTCTGCCATCCGGTCCATCAGGCTATTGCTGTTTGTACTCCCAAAGGCGAGGGGATCCAATGTGTCCAAAAAGACGCAATCGTGTGTTCAGACAGCCGGAAAGTCAGAAGACTACTTTCTGGATACAGAAAGCCAGGAAATTTCCCCTTACTTTTACAGTTGCACAACATCCTTGACAGGGTCAAGCAAATACAGTTGACGAAAAGGATGCACGAAGAACAAAGAGCTCTATGAAGGACATGTAAAACGAAAGAGCTTGTTAAAATTCTGTCGCAGAACGAATAACCGCTCCTCTTTGATCGATGGACAGGTTAATGCAGAACAGAGTCCCTTCGTGATCCAACAGACATCTGCCAAGAGTTTAGCTCGTCCTTCGCTACCTCCATGAGCCTGAAGACAACCATGTTAAATGCAAGCATTGGGGTGCAAACAACCAACGCCCTGCGTAACATTGAATTTTCGGTCATTGCTATTTAACATTCAATGAATGCTACTAATTCGTCTTCACATCTAGATTTCGATGGTATCCCACTTGCCGTCATAAAACTGGGAGGGCCTGACATGACGTTACTAGTGCTGAACATGCTTACCCTTCCGTTGGAATCAAACTACTTTCCAGACCAGTGGAAAACATCGCTCAGCATCCCCCGTCACAAGGTGGATCCAAGTAAGAAATTAATAATTACCGGCCAATCCATCACATCCCTGTAGTAGCCAGAATAGTAGAGAAACTGCTTACGAATGGCGTGATGAAATTCATCAATTCGCTGGCGCTAATAGACAGGTCATAGCATGGTTTCCGGGCCAAACGATCGTGCATAACTTGTCAATTGCAATTCTACTAACTCAGGATATGCAGTCATACTTCTGTTTCTTGACATGGAAATGGCATTTGAGCGAGTGCCCCATAAACGGCTGCTGAAAAAGATTGCTTCCTTTGGAATTCAGGACCCACTCCTAGGCTGGATATTGTCATACCTGGGCGGTCGTTCTCAGGTAGTTACCATAGCAGACCACCAATCTTCACTGCGTGCAATCACTAGTGGTGTTATTCAAGGAAGTTTACTTGGTCCGTTACTTTCTTGCTCTACGTCAATGACATTAGTTTGCTTACCAGTCATGACATGCCTTTCCTATTTGCAGATGACATAAAGATAGTCTACAAATTCCGACGAGCTAAACTTCAAGGTACACTACTGCTCACACAGGGAAACTTCCACTCCCTTGAGAAATGGTGTGAGACCTGGAAGCTGAAGTTCCCGGCGAAAAAATCTAGCATCATGTATCGCGGCTGTTCGATACCCGAGGGATAAATTACACTCAACGGCGAACACCTTTGTGCACAGCTGTCTACCCGCGACCTCGGAATCAGGTATCCTTGGAACTTCAACTCTGCCGAACAAGTGAAATACCAGCTGGCTGAGGCCAGAAATTCAATAGCTAATAGATTACCTAAGGTCCACATAACCCTAACCAGAGTAGAACTCATCAAAATCCTCACTCGCCCCATTTTGGAATACTGCCGTATCATTTGTGGCAGCATGAGGAAATCTGACAGAGTATCTCTGGAAAAAATACAAAAATCATTTACCAAACGTCTGCTGGGCAAAACATCCAATAAGAACTATCGGGAGTGCTGCTAATAATTCCAGTTCGATCCCCTTTGACCATGAAGATTGAGACATAACCTGATGCTTCTGTACAACATGATTCATCAAAATGCCCACTGCAATTTGCACTCCCTAGAACTACAACATAATTCGACAAGGGAGCTACGCTATAAGGAGTTTACCTTGAGTATGCCCAGGTGCGGGATTCATCTGCGGTCCAAATTTTCCTTATCAGATATACAGTCCTGTGGAATAAGCTCCCAGTCACAATCAGATCGTGTGAGAGCGCAATGGTCTTTTGCGTTAAGCTGACCAATTTCTTAGATTTGAACACGATTATGACCCTGTTCTCTTGGGAGATATCACTTGATGATTTGTACCAAGAAGGGCCAGACAACATCTGATGAAGAAAAAAATTTTCAAACTGTATGACACCCCTAGTGCTGCTACCGCCTACCATTCCAACTAGTGCACTTTGCGTTGAAACACATCTGTGAGTTTATACCAACCACTGAAACAGCGAAATCAATGAAAGTAAGCTAAATGTTTAGCATTCGTGCATGTATGACATAATCTGTAAAATATGATCTGTGCCAAATATGGCCACAGTTTCTCACTCGAAGAGAAATATTATTATTACCAGAGTGTGTCAGACGGACATTTTGAGATGTTGTTTTACATTTGAAGGAGTATGAATTTGGAGCATTGGAGTATTACTAAACCAGTGCTCACTAACTTAGCTTACCAAGTTACATTAATAACAAACAGTGCCAAAACTTACTCTCTCCCCAACCTTCTATTCCTAAATTCTCTCCTGGACATCCCCGCGGAATCTGTTGTAAGCATATGCCTTTATTATGACACACCAACGGACAATGTTGACAATAAAGGTACCGGTGCTTGTGTACGGAATGCTGACAAGTCTCGCATGGAAGACGAAGACGAGAGCAGGTAGCCATTACAAGCGCATGTCCATGAATTACAGAATGTACGTCGGCAGCGGTTGTGGATCCAGTGTCGTTTCTGTCTGAATTAACCAGCTGTCCTGCGGACGAACTGCCTTGTTTTGTCACTCTAAGTGTGGTTGCCGAGCCCGTGTGTGAATGCCGTCTCTTACCGGAGCCATGTTTCCAGGGATTGATAGCTGCCGTGGACACATGGTGCAGTGCAACAGAAGAAACTCGACGCATCATACTCATAGTTCGTTTGGAAATATGGTCTGGTGCATGGTGATGTAAGTAGAAGCGTGAGTTGGACGATTCCGTCCCGAGACTGTGCCGGCGAGAGGTTGATGAGTTGGATGCATTGTTCATACTGTAGTGAGGGTGCGAGAAATTCCCGAATGTCTGTTTCCCTTTAAAGCACAGAGTATAGACACTTACTTGGCTCACGCAATGAGCTTCGTGCACATGTGGTCGGAGCTGAGCGCCATTTAGAACTCGAGTTTTGCAGATATGTGACCTTGGAAAGGCGACCAATAATCAGTGTCGTACACTTCGGCCCTTCCATTCTCATTATTGGATATCAGTGTTATCGAACAATTACGCGAATGTGGAATAAGGGGGAGTAGTTTTTGACATTAGTCTGACCTTAGACCACAGACCTCTGACCACAGATGTGTAACCGTGTGGATGACCTTTGTAAGAAGGCCTGGTGACAGAGTTTGGGACCCAGTACCGAAAGTTAAACAGACCCCAATTGTGAGACAGAGCGTAATGGAACCAACTAAATTTGGGTTCATAGAATTGAGGGCGCTAATTCTTTAGGGGAAATCCAACTTTTATTGCGCTTTTTGCGCCGTACGGAATGATTACAGCTCAAAATAAGAATACGCACCCTGGAAGTAAATATCATCTTGCCAAATCACAACAAGAAATGGTCCCTCATACTGAAGCGGAAGGACAGTTCAGCGATGGTCTTTTCGAATAAAAGTGTGTAGATCCTGATCAAATAATTAAGAGTGCTATGGCCATGTAACTGATAACCACCATTTCAATATGATTATTTCATCAATGTACCGTGTGATGAAGTGTTGGGGAGCAATTAGCACCTAAAAATTCCCGCAAGCAGTCTCAGTGACCCAAGCATCCAAGGCTTGGTTTCAGACAAAGCGTGGTCTCAAACGATATCCTGTGTCGCAGTAGAAAACACAACAAGAAGTACAACAGTTGATGCTTAAACGATTCGTACACACAATAGCAAATGTTGGGTCTCTAATAATTCACCTGATGCTCTTAACCTCAGAATAGGCTGTGGAATGGCTCACTCATGGTATAGTCAAAACAAACTTTATTACGATTGGATACACCTTTACATCTATAGATAGTAAACAAAATGTATTGCAGTGGGTTAGCGAAGGAATGGAAAAGTTTTCATGTGGCAGATTAATTCACCTGTAGGACGTTAGCTTGCCTTGCGGGTATGCTAAATATTGTGGCTTGTTTCCCTAAAATTCACGTCAACTGCATTCTTTAGCTGAATTTTGCGCTGGCTCTGCTGTTAATTCGCCATACGGAATGAGATAGAATGGGACAGATGATATCGAGTAGAATGCAAATCCTGTTTTGACAGGAGTGACGTGTGGGTGACAAAGCTGGCATCCAAGTCTTCTCACTTCAATAGTAAGAACAGAGGAGTTACCTTACAAATTCAGTACCAAAAGGTACTTCTGCTCTTCTTATCCACCCAAAGTACTCACAGCTTGATAGTCAAAATTCAAATTTAGGTGTTCCCTTGAGCTGAAAAATTCAATTGCATATGTCGACGCAAAAGTCGGTATCTCAACAACCAACCTGAGCTACCACTACTTCGACTTGTCGCAAATCCCCAGTGCTCCATACTTCTCGCCTGTACGTAAGACACGATATAAAAGCATATCTACTTTCTAGCTGAAAGTCTGCGAAATAACATTCTCACTTGCAGTGGTAATAATACATTGCGGACAAACCATGCACAAGTATGGGTCGTCGCAAAGCAATTAGGGAGGTGCCAAACTGTAATCTATTTTCCCAACTTAAATGACAAGTCCACAACTCAGAAACCTAAACTGCCGGTATTAACTCGACCGTCAACTACATAATTATAGGATGTAGTGCCCTAGTAAACGCTGGAATCCCCGCCAGTTATAAAAAAATGGAACCGCAACTTTCGTAACCAAAGTACTTGCTAGAATCAGGCACTTGAACTGGTTGATGCGCTCGGTCAACAACGAATACACTCAAAAAGTTGAAAAAGAGATTACAGTCTGCTGCTGAGACACTGATGTCTGAGTGCTCGGTTTGTGGAACTGACAGGAATGTCACATTTCTCATTACATCAGTTGCTCGCAGCGATTAAGGAAAACTCATCTTAGTAAATTTAGCAACGCAAATTGTCTATCCCTCGGCACTCCGACCTTAGCAGCAGTGAAATCGTCCCAGCTATGGATTGGATTGTACGAGCAACTTTCCCAGCGAACTTCAACGTTGTCATAGGTGCCTAATCACCGCAACGTTAGTTTTATATTTGATCAAAAAACAAATCCGATAAGTATTTCTCAGCCGTCACTAGGGGGTTGGTTAATATAATGTAAAAACCTGCCATTAGGTCAAAATAACGCAGAAGTAAAATGTAAGCTGAGACAAATACGAATGATAAACTGTTTTAACTGCAATGCGTTGTGTTAATCAAGATTAGTTTGTCCGTACACATTCAGATTTCACTGTGAACCTATTGCTTTCTATAGTATTCGAATTGTTCTTATTCTTATGTCCCCTAATTAGATGCTAAGAACTGTTGTTCTTTCATCTAACATGCGATGTACCTCCTGAAACCATTTTGCCTGTCAAACTTCTCTTGAGACAATAGTAAACCGTCACCGAAGGTATCATGCGCATGTAGTCCCGAGTAATTACTCTCTGTAGGCTAACAGATGGACCTGAGTAAACACTTTAGTATGTTGCCCATCGACAAAGGTTAAATTAGAAGAAGACGCTGCGTTCTAGCAATCAAAGGCATTCACTGTCATCAACTTCATACCTAATGCGCAACGAATCAGGTCAGCTGTGTAGAAATATCCTAATCAAGAACATCGTAATGAAATACAAATAACATTTACCACGCTTTTTCTCGATCACTGTGTGCCTGTTGAATTTCGTATCTGTCCTCAGCAGTCTGAAACCGTGTTTTCTTACTACATTTGCTCTACTCCGTTTTATCAGAGACTGGCGGTGTAACTTTGTCAAAAATTCCATACTGTTTTTGTGCGTTGAACATATAGCTTCAAACTTTTCTATTCAGAACTTTAGACCTAGTGGAAATGTGATGGCAAAAGATCTGAACGGATCCTTGATGCATTATACTTCATAATCCATCTTGATGAGACTGGACCTTAACGTGGTGCGATGGTTTGTGTGCCTCAATGATTCAATGAGCTATGATGCTTTTTGCAACTTCAGAGCCATTCATATCAGCTTGATCAATGGCTAGAGGCCAGACAAACCTAATCTCCTGGCCTTCCAGGATCAGGGTTGGCGTGAGGGCGGCTCCTTACTCCATAAAACGGGCTCTTTGTAGTCTAGTGCCAAAACCGCGCTGACTTGCGATAAAGTGTTTGAACCAAAGGTTTGGTTGAGCACCCTAATCTTTCTCCTGTTTAGGCCTGAGCAACTTGACAGCATCCTACCCACGCAATACACCATTACCTTTCCTTCTAACAACCACTTGGTGCTAAGGGCGTCGCAGAGGATAATAAACGGCACCCTATCTGCTGCATCGAGCAGGGTGGATAGGGGGTTTGGATGTTATTGCTCAGGCCTTCCCGCCTTCTTATCTTCCCTCCTCGATTTTACTTCCTTACCGTCCCGTTCAAACTTCACATTCATCCACCCTCAGTTTTAATCCCAATACTTGGCTCTCCCCCACCTTGATTGAACAGTCACTTGTCTTCTAGCTGCAACTTAGGCACAATAGCAGGGCAGCCTACAGTCCATTCGACAAGTCCATGTTCAACCAAGCGGACAATGTCAGTTCATCCGTTTCCCTTTGGAGTCCTCGATAATCGCTAAGACTGTCATGCCTCAATGTGCGCATTTTGCTACAGATTGGACAACGGTCGACGCTTGCCCGAACACTCGAGACCCTCTCGATCGATATTTGCTGCTAATCGGAAACCTGCCTGCAAGATGCGAGCTCTGTGCTTACTCTATGATCCTCCACATGCGACACTGGCTGCACATTCTCATTGCGTCTGTCTGACGATGACGCAGCTTCAAATTCAGGTCAAGGTGGTTTCGGACTTGTTTTCAGTCCCCGGGCTGAAGCTGCCCTGATTGACTGTATCCCTGTCAACAGCCGGATGTGCGCCGCTAGGTTGGCTGGCTCGTTCCAGGCTTTGCAGTCGCGCGGGGACAAACGGTGCCTGTTTGTCATTGTGGCTTACGCCCCCACAAATTGTAGCCTTGATTCCGTGAAAAATGATTTCTATCATCAACTTAAGGATATTCGTCGTTACAGAATAAGCACGGATACTGTGGTGCTTGCTAGTGATCTAAACGCCCAAGTCGGAAAATTGTCCTCTGATGAGCCTCATCTGGGCGACCAATATTGTGTACGCTCCCGAAATGATAACGATGAGCTGTTGCTATACCTATGTGAAGCTGCTGGTCTCTTGCTCGAGAGCACTAACTTTCGACATAGCACCCGCAGAAGAGTTACTTGGCGTCCATCAGCTTCGGGCCATCCATGGACGAAAACCGATCACATCGAGATTAGTTACCGCTGGTGAGGCCGTGTCCAAAACTGCCGCTCGATTTGGAGCACCAGCATGGACTCCGATCACGCTCTCGTGTGTACCGACCTTCGGGTGAGTTACTGTGAACGTCCGCAACGTCGAGCTGAGCGCATTGACACCAGCCACCTGGAGAAGCCAGGTGTTCTGAATGCGTATCAAACTACGCTGGCATCTGGGCTGGGTAATCGTCCACCAAACGCCGTCGACGATCACTGGTCGCATATTCGTCAAACGTTAATATCAGCAAGCATGTCATCATGTGGTAAATCCAATTGCCAGCCTAGACATTGGGTCTATACAAAGTTTCTGGAACTTGTGGATGTTCGCCGACGGATTCCGGCTGGAAGCGAATACAATGAGGTTCGCAAAATTCTTAGGGCAAAGCTGCGTGTTAGCCTGAAGATAGGCCGCGAAGCTTGGTGGTTCCATCATGCGTCGGAAAAGGAAACACCCGTTATTCTGTCTGGTACGGGAAATAGGCAGCAGGAGACCTGGACTTTGCGAGACAATCCGCTACGAGAGTGGACAGCCAATCCACAGCTT